TAGTTGGTCGAGGTAGACCTGATAGGTCAGAGCTAGTACTTAGTACTAGGGATATTTGAAGAGCAGGGGGCTCGAAGGGACACAGGAATGAGAACTTTCGGCAAAGAGTAGAGTCGGAACTGGGACCAGATCCCTTTGTCCAAGGCCCAACCGGGTTGTTTGTGAGGATTCCCGTCCTCAAAGTCTTGTGCTTTGAGAATGGATTCTCTATTTTTCCCCGGAAAAAAAAAGGGAAAAAAAAAGAGAGAGAGAGAAGGGAAACGGAGCATACATACCAATCACCACTTTAGTTCTTTTTTATTTTCAATAGCACGTTTTTTTTTATAATTAAAAAAAAAGGAAAAGAAAAAGAAAGTGGTGATTTTGATATGTAATGCTGCATGGCGACGTCCCACTAGCAAAGAGGATTGGATTTGACAGCCGAATCTTAAAGGACGTAGCCTCTAGTTAGCCTTGTTTTTCTGTAGACCTTACTAGAAATTTCTTGTACGTAGGACAGAGCTTTTTGGGCGTTGTCTTCGGCGGAAGCTGAACTGAACACTATAAGAAGTCGGTGAACTATTCTTTCGTTACGGCTTCTAAAAGACCCCTGATGAGCGCGGTTTGGCGGCCGCGCGAAACCGGTCGGGTCAACGCCAAGCGTTTATCGCTATGTTCTTCTTCACGTTTATCTTTAATGGAAGTTGCGTTCGGATTTTTTACGGACTTTCATGTGTTCAGCTCTTTCTACTCTTCCTCCTCTTCTTCTTCTCTTCCTACCTTCTCTCCTCTGACGTGAGTGCCGCTGGACTTGTTTTTGGACTCTGTTCATTCGCTAATTTCGTGAAACGTTGCTATTGTGACGAATCTGGACGCGTTTTTGGAGAAGTGGAGAAAATGGCGATTGATCTCCATTTCTGCATCTCTGCTCAAAACACATCCAGATTCAGCCGCTTAATCCAAACCTTGGCTATAGTGGGACCTTTCTCCCGTTTCACTTTTTCTTTTTGGTGTTAGTCGAGGTTATGCCAGTGCCCTATTCTGCGGGGATGCACGTTATTTATAACCTTTGGCTATGGTGTTTTTTTTTTTTTTTTTTTTTTTTTTCCTGGAGTCGTGTCCTGTTTCTCCGTGTTGATAGTTTTTCTTTGATCTTTCGGAGAGAATT